TTCCAAGATAGGAAAGTGAACTGTTCAAATGTATACTTGTTCAAAAATTCAAAAAAAAATCCAGAGAAAACCAAGTTATCGATTTTATCGCCTAGAAAATCCAAATCAAGGAAGGCAATCGATCAAGTAATGAAATTTTCAGGGTTCTGAGGCATGAATAGATTTAATAATATTAACAACATTTAGGCAAGGTAATAAGTAAACAAGTAAACATAACAGTTTCTGAGAAGATTGGCATTAAGCCTTTCAACCTCATCATAAGACAATCAGGGAATCCAGACAGAAGCGTCATTATCGGGTCTGTAAGTACAGTTAGGAAGACGCCGAGTTCTATTTCCTTCCAAATTAAGTGGTCTTCCGGCGTCTCTAATGAATCAAAGAAAGCCAATAAGAACTCAATAAGATTTTTTGAAAAATTCTTTCCCGCTTCTTCCGAGCCTTCAGGCATTTCTGATGAATGACTGAGTTTTGAAAAATTTCTCAAACTGCTTCAGAAATCTGCAGCAATGACCTCAATTTCGATACAACAAAAGTATCAAAGTTGAAATCGTTGCGGTGATTTCGTCCAAATCGTATTTGACGGCCAAGTAAACAAATAAACAGACCACAAAAAGACGATGGACTGACCTCTGTGGATCAGCGGAGCTTAAAGCTTCCATGTCTGAACTAGAGGACGGATGATCCGACGGTATAACCGTTGAGGAAGAAGCAGTACACGACGAAACCAATTCGGGTGTGTTACCTGTGTTGGCAGAAATATTAAATTTAGACACAGATATTGATCGATAAGAGTGGGGAAGAAACTTGTAACACTGGTTTTCTCTTTGGGAAGGGGAACTTCGCTCTCTGTCTTAGTATGGAGTCTGCCATCCTTTTCTGACTACTTTGTATATTTTATTTCGGTGGGGTGACTTTATGCATTGATGTTTTTGGCGTGTATTTTGAGCGCGTGGATGAATAAACAAGTAAACAAATAATCAAATCGTGGGACAATGCCTACTGGTGTTATCCTGGCGTGAATATGTCCTTGGCTGGAGGTATGGGTAGCTGTCTTGCATAGGAAGAGAACCCGGCATTGCTTTACTCACCTCCTATCACGACGGCAATCACCGAACCACGACGATTGAACATATCCAGAGCTCGAGCAGTGGCCCCACAACATGCATCGCCAGCCGGCTCCATCATGTCCCAAAACACAACATCTCAATTAGTCGACTGACACTTGCCACTCATTCACTGGAAGGTCCTGAAACGTACATTATCAGATACGGTAAGTGCAATGTCGTTTTAAATGGCAAAACACGCTTTGGGACAATTTTGAATATAAATCGGCACATAAAGGATAAAGAAATGCGTGGGAAGGTTTTCAGACAGCACACTGCACAATTGGTACCAACGGGATTACCGAATGGCGTGATCTACCTGGCCTGGACCATTGAACTTACCCAGAAATAGTAAGGAGGGAAGAGAAATCAGGAAGCAAAATTTTAACAAAAAAGGTAAACAAGGAAGAAGAAAAGGAAGAAGTCAAAGAACATCTTTGGAAACACCCTACTAAACTATTTTCACTTTTATTTTTCTTTTCAGCAAGACAAGGAAGAGTTCTGGCAACATTGACGCAACCCAGTGGGATCAGTACAACAATGAGACGGCACAGTCAGGATTGGTGGCGTTGTTTGGAGGAAGAAAACGGTTGTACTGGAACTTTTTGGAATTCCGGTGGTCTGTATTGAAGGCTTCATAGCCTTTGTTCGAGAAAGAGATAGGAGGAACCATTTGTAAACATACACCTTTTCAACAGTATCACAGTATCCCTTGAACGAAAGTATACTGTTTGCGTTCAGTTCGGAACCTTTTGTAATTAATCTGATTTTTCCTCAATTGAGGCAGTTGTCAAGAGACAATTGGCATACTTCAAGGAATGAATCATGTATGGGGGCGAAATAGCTTGCTTCCTGTTCCCTGCACTCGGACTAGATTGCAGAGTTTTTCAGTGAGGGGTCTAGGAGTCCAGTTGCCGTTTGTTTTACGACAATCAAAAGTCATCCAGTAATCATTCACGCTGTAAAGTCTGCATTTCTCATGTTCAAGCCACTTCTCAAGGAGAAAAAAGAAATATAGAAGATCATAAGGGACAAAGTTTGTTGGCGTTACCAAACCCATTAGATGGATACGCCCCGCATTCGAGTTCCATTCAGAATTGTAATGGCGCATGTAATCCATAAGTGGCCTTTCAATGGCCTGAGCTGGCCAGCCAATCTACAAGTCAGTACTTTTATGTCCCCAGACGAGTTTGGTACAAATTAATCGACACTGGAAGAATAAAAGGCTCGATTGGTCAGGGCGAATATCGATCCGGGACACGAATCCGTGACCATGCGTCTCTGATAGTGCGCTACTTGCCACAACACCACCACAACACATGGCTGTATATTACGGTTCTGCGTGCATACAGTTTTCAAAATCGAATCGCGAAAAAAGGAATAGGAACTCTTTAAGGAACTGATGGAACACATATATTATTCATAAAAATTCACCAAAGTGAATTTTATCATGATAATCAGTAAAGAGTAATAAGTAGAAGACTTGGCGCTTATCAGACTCTGAGGGATGCGCTACAACTTCAAATTCCCATCGAAATTTGACGGCGTGTTTATGGGCGCTGACCACGCCTAATGATATTTAATGTTAGAAGGTGCAAATGTGCAGTTACATACATGAGTTCTTTCTTCCCTTCCCCTCTCAAATATTGATGTATTGGTAGGATTCGGTCTGTTAGAAAGGACTTTGTTTCAAGATTCAAATACCCACTCTGTGTAGGATCCACTTACTACACCACGAATTTCAAGAACTCTATTTCATTGAAAATCAAAAGCGAAGTGTTTCTATAAGTGTCACAATTTAAGGCCCCAATAGCTTCGCTTTGCTAGAAAAGATAGGAGCGTACATTCGGTCCGATTCCGATCTTTCAAGCTAGAAGCCACAAGGAACAGCTCTAGCCACTGAGCTGAACATGTGAAGGAGAACAGCAAGAGTGGCAACGAATGATGAATTACGCGGAGCAAAACCGCAGATCTCTGAAACAGCAAGCGAAAGCGGTTTGAAGAGCGGAGAGACAGATGAATCACATACATTCACCACTTAAGCACATGAGCCGGTACACATGGACTGCTCAAAGCCGGTAGTGTAGTGAATTAGATCGTTGTTCATTTAGACGGCTTAATCTACCATTCAGAAGGGCTGAACCTGAAGAGGCCTTTGAGGATCACCTAGTGAAGGCTCGTAGCAAAGCAGTGTGTGTATGTGTGTGAGACGAAATCATCCCTCTCATCATCTAGGTGCGCCCGGGAGCGCGCATACACGCCGGTCGATATCCCCCCATGCGCATGCTACTAGATATAATAGCAAAGCCAGCCATGAGCACTCAGCGTGCTCAAAGTCTGAGTCTCCTGAACGACATGGATCGACCGCAACTGTGAGTGCTTCTCGTCATAGGAGTTATCTCGAGCTCTGAAGATTCTAGAGATCCCAGAGGTCCCAGTAGGTTCTGGTTGGAACTAACCTTATTAGAAGGTGGAAGTAGTCCTATGGTATGGTTATTGCCTTCAATTTCAGTCAGGACTACCTTGACTGAGCTTTCCTTCTTTCCCGATGCCTGCCCAATGAATGGTAGATGTGGCCGTATGGTTTGAAATGCATCCAAAGTCCAAAGGAAGTGTTTTTGTTTTGGGAGTATTACCAAACTTTTTGGCTGATTTGGAATAAGCCNGGCCGTATGGTTTGAAATGCATCCAAAATTTAGATTTGTTCGAATATGAAGAGTCTTGCAACCTTATCATCCACCTTTTGATTGCTGTATCTATGAGCGAGAAGTTATACATCATTTGACACTCGTGGCTGTTAGAAGACCATCCGAGGCCGGAACTATTTGTACCGGCGAAATGCCCACTTCGATACGTCGGCAACTATGAATTGAATTCGGGCATGACCCATTTAATAGAGTCTTCATCCCATATACGTCTTGATTTCTTTTCCGAACGGTATCCATGCCACGTTAAAACGAGAAGCTCAATGGCACTAACCGACGGGTAATAAATACCCACTCCACCTACGGGAACTGGAAGTGTTTTTGTTTTGGGAGTATTACCAAACTTTTTGGCTGATTTGGAATAAGCCCAGGTAGCGTCGCCTCAATACATGTGGCCTTTAATCATGGCCTGTAACCTGCCTTGGTCAGCGAAGGAAAGCCTGTAAGAATGAAAGCACCACCCAGTAAGTTGGTCCGTCGAGGCCAGCATTCAATGGCGGCTACGATTTCCAAGGGAACTCCAATAGATGGTCACTTTCCAGAACCAAATTCAATACAGTTATCCAAATCCTCGTAAAATCACAATTCATAATTTTGACTAGCAATGATTTCGATGCTAAGCGGCTTTCAAGCAAGCAAAAAGCGCTCGTTGAAAAATCTTTTGAAGAAATAAGGCCAGTTTGTCAAAGTGATTGATTGCTCCTCTTCGGTCGTGTTGAAGCTTACCACGATGATTTCACAATGGGAGGTCGTCCGTCACTCACGTCGTACGGCTAAGGAAAAGCTTCAGAAGATTTCAACAACTATCGATATTTTTTATAGTAATTTTACTTTAGGAACTACCACTCCCTCCGTCACTCTAATTAATCCTGTTTCCTGCAATAAGCAATCCCATAAAGCTGACACCATTATATTAGGCCATTCAATTAAAATCAAAAGACTCAAAATTGCTCAGTAACGGTCTGTTAAACTTCAGTGCACCATGAGTTTAACCGGCTGTTCTCCACCCTCTCCAATATGACAAGTATCGAGTACAAAAAGATTGTGGCACAAACTCGAATCATCTATGAAGACAAACCACTAAAAGCCACGAATGACGACAAGCAGTTCGCGGAGCACGAAAGTATTTTAGCAGTTATTTGTTGGATTTGAAAAATAGCCCGAACTAGGGTCTAATTCCTCGAAGTTTTTAACTTCAATCTAAAATCTCCATCAGACCAAGGGTGTTTTTTTGCACAACAAATCACCTACAATTAGTCAAACGGGATGGAACAGAAGTGAATTTGTTGCTGGGCGGGGCTGCTGAAAATCATGGTAAACAGTAAACAATCCACAGCACAATGAACATACATAGTAAATAAATAAGTGGTGGTGCGCATCAAATCAGCATGTTTTCAAACAATGTTCTGGAACAGAACAGAGGTAGGCCCTAGGCCAACCAGCAGGTGCAATACCAGCCATAAGGGTCATGCCTGGGATGCACAAGTTCAAGTTTGAGTCCCCACAACGGCAAAAACGCATTTGTGGCCACGGCAAGTGACTCTACTAGCATGTCGAAGTAAATGGGAGACTTAGTCGTGTCCGTTTGGACGGATGAAACTTAGATTCTATGGATTAACGGCAGGACGTGACCGTAGTCTTCAACAGAGCTTAGGAAGGCAAAATGGGAATCAGTAGAGACCTCTGTACTCATTGAACCAGAAAGGAGCATCTATTAGGAGCTTACTATACAGTATCGATAATTACAGGTGATCATTGAGAGTACACGGTAAGATCACTAAAAACACTCCCAAAAACAATGTTACCAGAAAAAAGGATGAAAAAATTACAAAAGGCACTTGGCACAGGTCCTAACCCTGATATGCCCAACGGTTTTCAGTCACGAAAGTATTCGAGGGAGCTCTAGACTCTTATTATCATAAATTATGACCATTCATGGCTAAAATTGATGCTTTGAAGGGCTTGGACGTAGAAATATGAGCTAACCAATTCGTTTAAGTGCGGAAGTATAAATGGCTGTTTTGAATGACATTAGATCGACCATGAACTGACATTCGAATAGAATGCAGTCTAGTAGAAGCTGGAAGGTTGTTAGCGATGTTGTTAGCATTTTTGTCTCTTATTCAGAAAGCAGGTGAGTCCCCTAGGAGCAATCGGTAGGAAATTTTTGCTTAATGGCGCCAAAGATTTTTAGTTGTCGGACTTGATGGGGAAAGGGCCAGAGAAACGGAGGAAGAACAAAGAAGGAAGAGGAATGAGATGATGGGTGAGCCACCCTACCATACATATATGTATATGCATATGTATATTATTCTCAAACCATCCACTGAATAAACACCTAGCCAAATCTGCTAGGCCTTTCTTTCTGCACAGTCAG